TTTGGGGGGTGAAATAACAACATTATTAATAAAATTATTTCACACATTTACAAAAATCTAAATAAACTAAATATTTAGAAAACCAAAAATAAATATTAGTTATGGGACCATAAATGTCATAAATATATTCTATCTATATTTTATTTATGTGCTGAACCTTATCTTGTCATTTTTATTATCACCAATAGACAAAATTATTATATTTAAATAGAAAGGGGTGTAAGGTGCAATTCTACATATAAAGTAACAGAACACCACTGATCTGCATTGGATTGGATTTTGTGTTTCTACTTCATTCAATGCTAGCATGGGGATATCAGAGGGTCACCGTGGGAGCTACAGTTTGATGAATTCTAGTTGTTATTTTTAGGTAGGTCATTAACTTGATTCTGACCTTGAGTGGGTATAACAATGATATTTTAGACACAATACCAAAAGCATAAACCATGAAAGAAAAAGAAAAGAAAAACTTATAAGTTGGGTTTTATTAAAACAAAACAAAAAACAACTTCTGCTCTATGGGAGACAAGAGAATATCAGGTCTTCAGTCTTAGGGATTTTCCTTTGGATCTTCTTCAACTTGCATTCCACAAACAGTAAATTGAAGAGACATTTAACTAATAAATATTGTCTCATGTAATAATGGGAAACATAGCAGTGATTGCATATGATTTCATAAAATTTGAGCTCCTCTAAAGACTTAATACATGATGGTAATGAGGAAAAGACAAGGGCCTGTCTAGCATCTGTTTCTATAGTGTCTTTGGGTAGTACCAGTAAAGAGACGGTCATAATCCCAAATTCTTAATTAAATTTATAACCTCATCAGCTTCCTTGAAAGAACTGTTTTTGTCACTTTGAAGTATTTTCAGAATTTCCTTGTTTACTTAAAGTACTATATAGTACTTTCACATGCAATGAAGACAGATACACATAAGAATATATATTTACAAAGTTTAGTTAGTAGCTTTGCAAATTTCAATTAAAATAATAGTCTTAAATTATTTCTTTAGATAAAATATATTTCAAGTCATGGGCATTTGAGAGGAATGTTAGTCAGCTTCTAGGAAGTTCAGAATGTTTTAAGTAGCTTCTTTATTATCATCACATGTACTTTAAAAAAAAAAAAGATGCTTGAATTTTTCTGGAAAAGTTTCCATCAATGACATTTCCACCAAAAATAATGGAATGTCATGCACTAATAATGACAAAGCAACACCTATTGGGATATACTGAGGCTATTTATATGAGGGGCAGGTCATCCTTCAAAGGCATATGTAAACATGAACCAATTCGGGGTAAAATTCCATAGGCCAAACTTTATATTAGTGCCCCATACTATTGTATATTTCTTTTCAATGACAGTACTTTTCACACATTCTATGTATATATTTCCAAATACTCCACTTGCATCTGAGTGTTACAAAACAATGATATCTTTATAGATATCAATCTATATCTATCATTCCAACCCTCAAGAAAATATTGAAATTATTTTCACACTGAGAAAATATACATCTCAGATATTTTCCTTTGTCCATTTCCTAGATCAAAAAGAGTAAGACACACTTCATATTACATCAGTGTTTCTAATAAGTACTATTGTACAAATATACATTTCTTGCCTTTTAAAAATCTTTAAATCCCTGGACCAGCAATTGGCGTAATGGTTATGTTGCTGGACTCTCATGTAGTCGACCGCGGTTCAAGTCCTGGACCCAGTGGCTTAAACTCACACCGGGAGCGTGTACGTGCATGTCCAAGATCCCAAGAGGAGAAGGGATTGTGGTGTGGTCATTCCCCCTGGGGGGTGATTTCTTGCTTTCTGTCTCTCTATCTCTCTGTCTTTCTGCAAGTACACACACCCTTTATCAAAAACCTCTCTGGGGGAAAAATAATCTTCAAATCCTGAAGAAGTAAGGGATTTCATTTGGTGATAAAGCACTACTCAATATATTTTATTTTGGGAGAAATAACAACACAATTTGGGCCCTTGAAAGATAAACTACCTAAACTACCAGTGCCTTAACCACCATACACCTGCTAGTCCCCTATTCAGTACACTTTAAGGAATAAATTTTGCAATATCTATAGGTTTCTAATTGAACTGAATTTTTTTTTAAAGAGAGATTTTTGCTATAGGGTGCATGTGCTCTCTGGAGAGACAAGAGAGAGACAGAGACAGAAAGTGAGAAATTACCTCCCGGGACAAGGGGGAAGGCTACACTGCAATACCTTCTCCTCCATTCTCCTCTCAGGATCTTGGGCATGAACACACCATGCTCACTGTGAGTTTTAAGCCACTGGGTCTAGGACTTGAACCACTGTCGTCTACATGGGAGTCTAGCGACGTAACTATTATGCCACCTGCTGGTCCCTGAACTGAATCTTAAGGTTCTAAGTTCACTGTCTTTAGTTCTCTCTCTTGCAGCAAGCAAAAAGCTTTCAAAAATAAGTTTGATATTTACGATATTTAAATTATTGTTTCAAAATTTATTACAAACCATTGAGGAAAATATAAGGCACTTTGAATATTTTCCATCTGCTGCAACCCTCTAATAGACTCTTTGTGCTGGGCCCACTTCATCATTTTGGCAATCAAATAAGTTGCCTTAGTATCCCAGGAAAATTATCTTTAACAATTTCAAATAGATCTCTAGGAACAATTTGTCTTAAAGTTTGTAGAGTTAATAGCTTCAAGTATAAATGAAATAGGATTTTAGAAAAAAGTATTTAAAAGACTTATCCTGTGTCCACTTACCTCCATGGCCGTACCTTCTGTGCCATGTAAACTCTAAAGGTAAAAGAAAGAAACAATCTTGACCCCAAAGTAATTATTCAAGTTGTGGTTTTAAACATTACTAAAATAACAGATGCTAGATGATCCAATGAGTTCGGGTCCCTTGTCTATAAAGACTGAAGCACCTTCACATTGCTGCAGGTATTTTATTTCTTGTCTTTACATTTAATAGTTGTAGCACTGAAGTTTGCAGTCAATGGGAATATTTTTAGAACTAAGATAATCTTTGTTTTATCATATTCATAAAAATAAGATTTTACCACAAGAGAGTTACTGGAAGTCATTTTATTACTATTTTTTACATCATATGTGTATACGAGTTATGCATGCAATTAAAAATATATGTGTATAATTAGTATGATTGTAAAATAGGTATTTATCCATTTCATTAAAATTCTTAAGTATCAATAAAATTTCCTTTTTTTTGATACTAGAGTCACCATATATTCCCTGAATAAGACAGTATTTCTTTACATTTCCTTGATAATGAATAAGAAATACAACAGATGACCCTCTGGTTGACAATGAAAGAGAATATATGAAAGTTTGAGCTCCATCTGTGTCTTGAACAGAGTAGCGACCTAACAAGTACTTATTTAGTTACAGTCATTGAGATAAAGGTAATAGAAAAAGTGTTAGAAAACATGTTACTTTCAGATAAAAATATGGTAAACTTTTCCCTATAGGAAATACCTGAATATTTTATAGTTGCCTTTGAAAGACTGACATATAACATTTGCTTATCCAAAATCTGGAGCACTTTGCAGAATGATTTCTTATACTTACAGTCTCCACACAGACTCTAGATTATTTTAAACACTACATGGGCTGACTTTTCATAAGATTGTCATAAGAATAAGCACTGATTTTCATAATACTGAGTATTGGTGAAAGATTCATAAGCTCCAATAATGTATCAACCCACTTATTATAATTCTTAATGAATGATTATTAATTTTCAGAAATTTTGTAAACCAGTTAAACAGTCAATATTAAAAATTAAATTATAGTAATTTACAAATAAATTATTCACATTAGGAATGGAGAACCAATGCTTAAAGTCTATTACTTTCTAATTTATTTTTACTACATTGTACTATTATTTATATTACCATATTATTTAAGTCTCTTGAGACTCCATGGTAAAATACTATGCAGTGGTGAGCTGTTGCACTTCTTTTGTAACTCCTGATTAAATCATGTCGAAGTCAAATTGGCCATACTAGGAGTATTTACTCTCTAGACATAGAAAAATGTACACGCCAAGGGCATTTCCCCCCTAGAGATCTAGATTTTAAACATTTACCAGCACAGTAATACATAAGACTGACTAAATCTTATACAATTTTAATTAAAAGCAAAAAGAGAAACAAAATAAAGCCAACCTTAATATACATTTATTTACTTGTCTGACCCACATGTTAAAGAATACATTAATAACAAAGTAACTCTATACAACAGATTTAATGAAATGAATACTGATTATGTTGACATATTTTTGGCAAATATGCAGAGGCTGTATCTTACCTGCTAAACAGGATGTAACAGATATGATCATAAGATGACTGACCAGCAACCACATTTTCATATTGTGTTGAAAAGTTAAATTCAATTTTCCAGAAAAAAGCTCTAGTGTTATGGCAATTGGACAGTATTAAACACCTGCATAAAAAAAGAAAAGGGAAAAATTTTAAAAATGTAAAGAGAAAAGAAGTAAAGAAACAGAAATGGGGAGAGGGAAAAGGGGAAAAAGAGAGAGAAGGAGAAGAGGGGAGAAAAAGAGAATGGAAGATCAAATATTCATCACTTGAGGCGAACAACATTATTCATCTATTTTATTCTATGTTCTTTATTTGTGTAATAAGTTTTATATAAAATTTCTGTAAACTTATCGG